ACAAAAGGGAGGGACATTCAGTACAATTCTTCAAGCGGATTGGGTACCTGCCTCCATGTCAAGTCTCTAGCCAATCACAGCAGCAGTGGCAGATGTGACATATCACTTTGTCGATTTTGTTTCACCTATAAGCAGATAAATCAAACTGTTAGCAAATCTGATCGAGGGGAACGAGCAAATATTTTCCCAGCCGCATTCACTACATTTCATTGGTCTGAAATATTTCTGTATTGAGGCTGACACATCTGTTGGCTTCTGGTAAGATGTATATTCAGGAATTTTTGAATTCATAAATCTTGCAAAAATTCATCTTGCTTGCAAAGTAACCTCCAGGAAGCATTTATCTTGACCGTGCCACTCCTACTTGGTATAAACACTCACACACTTTATCCAATCAACTGGCAGTAAGTGGAAAGGGTTTTTGAATGTTTTTTCTTTTCTCTTTTTTTTTGCTTAAAGCCAAGATGAAGTGGATCCTGGTCTAATCTACACAGTGATTGCAACTGCTCTTTATTAAAGTCAATGTCTAGATCACACAAAATGCCTTCATTTGGCTGCAAGAGGTCTCAGACTTTGTTTGGGTTTTCTAAGAAAGATCCTGACCACCTAAAGTTGCGTGACACCATGCTGCAGCAGCTCTACGACAAAGTCATTAAAAGGGCAGCACCCTGATATTAAGAGGCATTTATTGAAGATAATGTCACAGTCTTGGTTTTGTTATGTTTATTTTGAGTATTCAGCTTTACTTTGCTTCTTGTTTTAGTGTTTAATTATTATTTTCTTGTTAGTTCCTGTCTTCCAGGTTTTCCATTTGTTGTCCTCTGCTGCCCTCTTGTGTCCTCTTTCCCTAGCTCTGTTTTCTGCTCTGTCCTCACCTGTTTCTAATCCTTAGTTAGCCCTCTCTTTGTCTCTGTCCCCTTTAAAAGCCCTCCCTCTTCAGTTCCTGTTTGCTGGATCCTCGTCAAACGTCTGTCTGTTTACCTCGTCTCTCCCTGGCTCCTAGAGTTTGGTTTCCCCTGATGTCTCCTTGGTTCTGGTTCGTTGTTATTTTTGTTGGATCTTTGGTTCCTGCCTCCGTACCTGTAAACCTCATTAAACCCACCAAAATTCACCTCTGCCAACTTGCCTCTGCTTTTGGGTCCTCAACCCAACACCAAATCCTGACAGATAATAGTCATTTTTTCTGATTGGAAAAATAACACCAGATAACAACCAATATTTACTAACAAATGAATACGTCTTAGTGTCAAAGAAAACGTGCGTATGATACTATATATGGTTAGTTGACTTTTCAATTCTTAAAAAAAAAAAGAACCGGGAATGTTTTATTTAACATTAACATTTTACTGGGAAGAAGAGAGATACCTAAGAATGTTAGTATGAAATTGTTGCCACAATAGTTTGAAGTGTTTTTAAATGTTCATTATTAATTGCTGTGGTCCTGATAGTGGTATATTGAATCTTCAAAGAGGTGTTTATTATGGGCAGAAAAAAAATTTATTTAAAAACAGGTATTTATTTTTTAAGATGTTTGGTAGGTGTGGTAGGTGTGTCATTAGGCATGAAGAGAGTTAGAAAATCCAACTCTCTTCATGACAGGCCACCAAGCCTGGTCCTGCTGGAGGTTTCTTCCTGTTAAAAGGGAGTTTTCCTCTCCACTGTCGCTTCAAGCATGCTTGCTGTGAGGGATACTGTCGAGTAACTGAGTCAATGCAATTAGCTAGTTTTCCTTAGATTGAAAACTTTGAACGAATCTGACTGTATGATCTGGTTGACTTGTCAAAGAATTGTAAAGTGCTTTGCGGTAACATGGGTTGTGAATTTCACTATATAAATTGAATTTAATATTAACAGCAATGATGGAAATATGATGTGTTTATAGATGTAACACTTGCCTTTTCTAAAGCTAGCTTTTTCTGGGGCTTTGAACTTTGGTTACGGATATATTTGCTCATATTTATAGAAACCGGATCATGAACTGTAACACAAGAAGAAAATCAGCAAACAAAACCCCTGAATGTTTTCAGCGATAAGAGATTTCACTTGTATTCTGCTAAACTAATGAGGTGTGCCTAATTGTTCAACTTAGTTCTTTGTTTAGAAGATTATGTTCTCCAGCAGGCATGAGAAATACCCTTATGCACTCTAGTAATCAATTAAAAAGTATGAAGCATGAAGTCATGTGTCACAACAACAACGATAAAATCAAAGATATTCTTTCTATTCTTTTCTTCATACAAATGAAGACATTTTGTGTAACACTACATTTTTTGTATACATCCAACTCGAACAGGAGACTTTTTCTGCAACATGGAAAGACATTACTATGAAAATAAAGTCGTTGAAGTGCAAGATATGTGCAAACCAATAGTGCATTTTATGGTGGTATACACATAGTGATTTATAGGAAGAAACCAGGTAAGGGGATTATTAGAAAACAAATAACATTATCAATGTTCACACAAAATTGACACCAAAAAAGATAAATAAAACCAAATACATATTTACATAATACAAATAAACCATCAAACAAAAGAATACATCAAACAAAACATAATTCCTTAAAGTGTTAGCCTCCTTATCTGATTGGTTTGCTTCAGGACCTTTTTAAGCAATGGGAACATATCTCCCCTTTACTTCCCTTATCCTTTAATTCAATTTCAGTTCAGTTTATTATTATACTGCCAATTCACAACACATGTCATCTCAATGCACTTTACAGCTCACCAGATCATACAGTCAAATTGATTTAAAGTTTTCTATCCAAGGAAAACCAGTTGATTGCATCGACTCCTCAAGTGTCAAACCACAAAGAGGTAAGTGCTTTTCTATTAAACAGGTATGTTATTAAACCGATCATTTAAAAACAGACAATCTAAAGACACACAAGCTGACTGAATTTATTTCTATAGTTTCTTTAAACAGAACAGAGAACATGTCTAAAAATGTCAGAGCAGAACAACAACAAAGAATCAAACAACTGATCTATTTAGTCTTTAATTTAATTGAACATCACACATCAATAATATAATTTCCTGTAGGAGTGGAACTCCTGGTATTTATTGTGTAGATGTAAAACAAGCAAATGACCAACTTTGCCCATCCTAGCTTCAGCCCCCAATACCCAAACTATCCAGTAGGGAGCAGCAGCACATTCTATGATTTAAAAAGCAAAGATTGAAATGACACAACATGTATACGCACCCACAACAATGTTTAATGCTACAGTCATCTACCCAGCAGATGCAATTCATTTGCTGATGGACTGACAACACACAACACCCCAAAAAATGGAAATTGAATTACATCAAAATGACTTCCATAAATTGGATTTATGATTTCAAAACCAACTATGAAATTAGATCGGATAACTTTCATTACTGGTAGTCAAACACTGCCCCAAGCTTTGTGGTTCCCAATTAACTTGCAACAACAGAGATGTTGAGTTTGTTGACGGAAAAAAAACACCATGTTGCCGCAACTGCAGCAAGTCAGCCTGTTTGTTCCACAGCTGATCTCAATTCCAGCATTCCCAAGCACACATTGGAAATAGTTACAGGGTTCATTTACAGTTTAAATGGACTGTGCAGAGACAATACAGATTGGGAAGAGCAGTGTTTTAACAGCCAGCAGAGTGGGATGGTGCATTTTAAAGATAGGGAGTGAAGGCAGTGCTTTTGAATCTCTGATAAAACACTAGGATTAAGAGCTCTAGTGGGTGGAGACAGTCATGTTGGCTGTCTCCAGGCCAAGGCCTGTGGTTACCCATCTATTAATATCAAATCAAAACACCACACATTGTCCCTCACAGAGAAACAATAAAATGACAAAGAAGTGATAATGCCCTAGACAAGAGATCAAAAGAAAAAAAAATAATACAGAGAAGAAATTACGTTTAGCCAATAGGCTCAGTGAGGAATAAAGTGCTGATATATATGACTGAGATAACATGTGAATGAAGTGTATCAGGTTCTTGGTGTTCAGCTGTTCAGGATAATAATCCCATTGGAAGTCATCCTTTTTTCCATTGGCAACTTTTCAACTTATATCTTGTGTAATATAGTGTGATACAGTTGATGCTCCTGATAGTGAAATGCTGCTTATGCATCAGCTGTCGGTTTAAAACTTCTTCTCTTAGTTTCTTAAAAATGATTTTAATTTTTTCCATTGATCTTTTCACAGTTTTAAGCTTAAATTATTAAGAAGAAATAAAAAGTTAAAATCTTTATATATTTATATAGATATATATATATCTATATATATATATATTATTTTTTTCCATTCAAACAATTTTAAAACGCCTGAATGATGATTTGAAACTTTTGAGGCTTTAAATTTGAACTGGTGGTTACATTTTTGGGGCAAATGTATATTTTTAACTGGCAATAAGCATACCACCAAAGTAGTTACAAAGTGGCGTAAAAAAAAAAAAAAGGAACATTGTTAAGTTTTTATATAGATGCTTTGTGGGTAGAAATAAAAAAAATTTGGTTGAGCAAAACAACCTGTCAAACTGACTCAGCTAATCCAGTTCTGTCAAGAGAAATGGAATGAAATTTGGCATTATTAGAGGCCTGTAGTAGGATATCCAATATCATTTTTATTAAAGAAAAAGTTTGACCAAAGTCATATTGTTTAAGATGCAAATACTTTTAATATACAATGTAGATCAAATATTATGATCATTAAACTACACCAGTCCACATTATATAAACAAACTATATATATATATATATATATATATAATATACTATATAGATAGAATAGTTTACAATTATGCCATATGTATCCTACAGTACACCTTTTACATAAATATATTAATAACTAATAATGCCATTACTGTTATTTATTTTGATAGCATTTGCACTGTATGTATGAACACCTTGGTTTGCATAATCTATTCTAATTTTTTTTTGTCACTTTATCACAGCTGTTATTGTCTACATACTGATTAAAACTGAAAGAAAAACACATTAGGTACAAAAGTATTTTAAATGTTTTATTTGTTTCTGTGCGTACACAAAAGTAACAAACATCAACACTTTTGATATTAAAAATAAGAAATCTCTAAGAAAAAATAAAACATTACACAAATACAATTTTCATTCCCATGTACAAACTTACTCGGTGCAAACTACGGCTGTTCATCTATCAAAAATACACATGGGATGAAACTCAACTAAGAAGGCACATCAAATGATAAAAAGTGTTTGGATTTATTTTTGCAGCTTATTAGGATTGAATGAGTTCAAACACAGATTAACATTGTTGTATGTACATCAGCATTAACCACCATGCCAGGACATTCTCTCCTCTCTGCTAAGATCAAAGGTTGGCAGAAACTTCTGGATTCCTGGAGGGCAACCAAGTCTCCATGACATGTCCCCTCGTCACACCTCTAACCTGCCTCTTTCCATCAGTCATCGCTCCTTCATACATGAACATTTACTCCACTGATCAATTTCTGTCTTTTATCAGTTACAACAGGCTTAATCCTTTTATGATTATTAAACTTGCACTTTTAAAAACAAAAGTGCATAGTGCAAACATCACACTGAATATCAGCATTTAGGGTGTAACACCTGGTCAGCAGAGGCAATGTTAAGCCAGTGCTGCAGCTGACAACACCTCCCTCTCTATCACAATGCAACACAATGCAAATACCTTCAACATGAATACATGTAACACAAGTGAACCACTAGTACTATGCTACTTTCTAGATGTCACTAGTTCTTATATACATCTTGGTATAATCCTTTGTAACATAATCTGCTTTCTGAAATCTGTTGTGCATCGGTCCTCCCATCTATCTCTCCCTAGCACCCCCTCTTCTGCATTTGCCTGTCTTCTCTCAGCCTCTTTGTGCTTCCTGGGACATGGAGCGACCCAGTGCTTTGGGTGCTTTGGCAAACTCCATGAGAGTTGGTTTGACTGGTGGGAGGTCCCTCGTGATCTCGTCCACGCTTCTTTTGCTGGGGCAGACTCCATCTGGTGTTGGGAAGGGCTGCAGGTCCTGCTCCGTGTGTGGGGCCCCACGTCCAAGCCTGACACCCAGCTCTGCAGGGGTAAAGATGGGCAGGGGCAGAGTATTTCTCTTCGGCGGCAGTTGGTGCTCCCTCACCCCTCTTTCTATGGTGCCTACCCTGAAAACTCCAGAAGGGCAGGCCTGAGTCAGAGAGCGGCAGTGCCACTGCCGGTACAATGTCTCTCTGTGGGAGTCGTCTGTCATGTTCATGGTCTGACTGTAGATTTCAGAGAAAAAAATCTGTTACAAATATTCAAGACATTTAATTTAGAGTTTTGTGTCATTTGGTTGCCTGGTGCATCATACCTGTCCATAGGTTGAGTCTTGAGTGTGACACTGTGCCAGTCGGCGGTATAGCTCTCCCTCTTTGCCTTGTTTTCCTCACGGACACTGCAGGTCAGCTCACCGCCCGTCACCACTCCGTTCCTTTTTTCCAACACACTGCAGAAAGGCATCTTCTCTGCTGTAAGGAGATTTAAGACGATTTAGCCTTTAAATCTGGGATGTCTCAGCTGAATGTATCTTCAGGCCTCTTTGTCCGTCAGGATTTATCTGCCTGGGCTCAGCTCTGTCCACTGCTTTTATACACACACTGTTGCTATTTACGATACGTTTTGTCAGTCTGCTCTGCAGCGTGTCCTGACATCTGACACCAAGTCCTCTCTGGCTCATTCCCAAAGAGCTGGATGCCAAACCAAGGAGGTGAATTGGACTAAAAATCCCCCTCATTTTCACATTCTGCATCCAATCACTTTTTAAATCCTTTGCCACCTCCTTTCAGATCATCTTAATGACAGGGAGGGAAATGCAACAGAGGTTAGATAAACTTGTAGCAGGAAACAGGTACAGAAACAGTGATAGAGCCCTTTTTAAAGCATATTTTGGTCATGTGGGTTGAAAATACATTAAGAAAAGAACATTTTCAAGAATATTGCAGTGATTTATTCCCATAATACAGTCAATAGGGTTCCTTATGCAACAGCTAGGGTTCATATCAACAAAACCCCCTGGCCACCTCGTTAGATGTCAGCAAAAGCCCCCTCACCAGTGATTCATTATCTCAATGATAGAAAACCACATAAGCTGTTATGAACTCGGGTTACTGGCTGTGGAACACACACACACACAAACACATCTCCAGAAATCTACACAGACTCATCTCTGACAGTCATTTGCTGGTGTGATGTTACTACCAGTCCCCCGTCTCTGACTCATTCACCCACAAGTGGCTCTGAGATCATCCCACTGCAGATATCACTTATCACACACATAACATCAAGCACCACCGTGGTGATAATAAAAAGTCTACTTGATCAGCCAATTAGCAATATATTTAATCTGGGTATATATCTATACATGTATTGTTTGTTTCAGGGTACTAGCACAAAAAAAATGTTTCACTTTACGTTTTCAATTAGCATGAATTCATGTGGTTCGTTTGCATTTCTTCAAACAGAGAGTAACATTTTGGACCAAGTTCCCTCTCATTTTCCAATGTTTAATCCTTCTTTGCAACTTTAAACATTGGGGGTCCCCTGGGGTTGTATGTTCAGTTATAATTGCACTGCAACATGTTTGACATTTCAAACACCTGCTTAGCCTTTAAACAAGGTTGTCTCATGTTGACATGACATCTTTTACCAAACTGCTTTAATGTTAATTAGAAGATTTTCATAATCCAAAGATTAAAATCAAACAAGGGTCTTAATATTTGTTTCAATTAATATCTAATTTTATTCAACCAGGCAGACATATCCACAAATAAATGTTTCCAGTTATGCTGATTGGTTTTTGGTTTGGATTTGATTTTGTTTGTAAAACATTTGCTCATGTGAAATAGATGAAACCTGTTTTATCTTTTCTTTTTCAATTAGGTTTTACTTACTACCTTATACAAACTCCTGGTTTAATGGTGCGTTAATGACTTACCAGCAGAGGTAGCTGTGAAGCAGTTAAATGTTCTGAAGACAAGCAGCCTACAGTATTAACAAAAAATCTATTCAAATCAATAGTATTTCCCTTAATTGCATGTCTGTGCGAATTCTCAGTTATTTGGGTCATGGCTACGTCCTGGATAGGTGTCGAAATGTCTTTAAAAGCTGAGTAAAAGTCCCGTGGCTTTCATTGTATGCTTTCAAACTTTAAAGGAATGTGTCTGTTATTGGATTATGGTCAGAACTATGCATCCAGCAGATTTCATGAAGTCCTCCAATGTAAAAAAGGCTTTTACTTAAACTATTATACTATGTTTTTACACAGGATCCATTTTTAAAAAATGGAACTCTGACATTAGGAGGAATTCATGGTGTTTTTTTATTTATTTGAAATTGTGACATTGTAAATTCCTTGTTAAAATGGTATACACCATTAGCAAGACATTCACACGGCTCCTTGTTACAGCTCAAAGATAATGAGCAGGTTGTCTAACTATCGAGTTTAAAGGATGTTTATCCTGAAAAACTGGCATCATCTTGTACTCTCTAAATGATCAATCAGAAATACAGCTGGACACATTTCTTTTTAACAGCATATCCTAAATAAATGGTGCTGCTGCATTTAATTATTTTACATAGGTTGATGGTATGCAATAAAATCTGCAGTGGGTCTCATGCGTGAGAAACTGTATAGAACATAACAGTCATTATAGAAAAAAAGACCTTATATGGTCACAAACCAGTATACTGAACCAAAGTGCACACATATACTTGGAAGTAGCATGGTGAATTGAAGAATTTAATTAACGTACTGGTGGCTGGTAGACAAACAACCAGGCATGGAGAAGTGAAGCCAAAATTAGGAGCCAATGACCACTGGTACCTAACTGAAAGCTTAAACAGGGAACGAAACAGGTGTGAACGATTTAACAAATGAGGAAACACAGGTGAAAGGAATCTACTGAGTAACTCATAAAAAGGTTAAAAAAAAGAGGAAATGGGAGAACAGGCAAATGAGAGTTTGAGCAGATTTTTAATGAGCACTTCAATAGGTCATAACAACAAAAGATAAACAAAAAAGCATTTTACCGAAATAAGACAAAAAAGAAACAAAAACAAGGGATTTTTTTCCTCTTAAATATAAATACTGCATTGTTCAAGAGTCAGTTTACTTTAAAAACTGCTTTGTTTTAGAGTCTTCTTTTGATCATTACATAACCTTTATAAGATCATGTTGCAGTTTCCCAATCAAATTAGAATCCAAACTGTGATTGGGCCAATTTTAAACATTAATTTTCTTCTGAGCCATCCAGAGTTTGACTTGCTGGTCTCCCCTGGATTATTCTTCTATTTTAAAACCAAAGCAACTGGAAACTAAAGTTAAGTCATTGCTGGTTAGAAAATGTTATTAAGGATTTTCTGATAAAGACTTAGTTAAATCCTGCAGGTATGAAAGATGAAAATCAGCCTATGGGGGAGAAAAATATACCAGTGTTTCTCATGTTGAACCTGTCTTATACCATTATGCCATCATAATTCTTTTAATTACTGAATCATTGGCAGTGACCAAAGGAAAGTGAGGCCTGTTTAGCTTGGGTTCCTCTGCGACCTCCTGGACAAGCCTTTGATGAACATTTACAGTAGTTTTCTCCTATAAAGGCTCAGAATCTTTTCATGTGTTTTTTTTTTTTTCTAAATGATGCATTATGGCTCTCAAATGTTTTCCCAATTTCTAGAGGTCTGAGATTAGATAATTTGCTGCTTCATTTCTTATGACCAAGGCATGAAATCTTGGTTTCTGAATTCCCTATGCCTCTTCATGTTGTCAGACAGGTTCGATTTAAGTGGTTTAAGGTCTAGCAGTAATCACTCCTCTGTATTTTTTGTTCAACGGAACCCCCAAACATGGATTGACTTATATTTGATTAAAAGAGGCTAATTATATGGTTACATAAACCCAAATTGGTTTGGATTTTGTTGCCTTGGTGATTGCCAATTATTAAAAGATGAAGCAGGGTTACAAGAGGGAGAGACTTTCTTAAGAATGGCTTATTTTTGTAAAGACCTGAAACTAAAAAATAGGTAAACAAATGAATGAAAATTCTAGTTGATTATAATACTAATTATATTATCATGTGTACATGTAATTTATAAAAGATTTTCAGTATATAACTGCCTTGTTGATAAGCACTGATATCGTTTGATGGCAAATTAACTGAGAGCAATTTCATTCCTCTAACTTGTAAAGTACTGATAGTGCTTTTGTTTATAAGTGTATTTTTTTTATCATGTTACATGTTTTTGTGAGTCAAGTCACAACAATCTCAGCTTTCCGTTGGAATCGTTAACCTAAATACATCTCTTGCTTGCACAGCAGAGTGTTGTGGAAAACTACCATGGCTGCTTTCGTCTATATGTCCCCTCTGAACTGGAAAGGTTACACACAGCAACTGCTACTGAGCCCCTACATGACCCTTGTGACCTTAGCCCCCTTTAACCTGCCCCTCTTCTGTGCTGCTTCAATCACAAGCCCTGATTTATTGCCCCAGGCCCTCGAGATCCTTTGTCACTAACTTTTAAAAATATCCAGAGGGAAGGATAAACACAAGTAACTAACACAGATAAACAAACTGCTTATTGGTGCATCTAAAACAGCAATAAAGTTTGACGTTTTCTAATGGGAGCAAGTCAGATGGTGTTCAAAGCTTACAAGGGTGTGCTGCTGATCTTTGCTTACAATATCCATAAACCTGAGCTCTTTCTTCGTTTATTGTCTTTATTAGATGATAACAAAAACATCTGAAAGCTAATACTATATAAAAACCTTTTTTCCTCAGATTATTGTTTCCCCTTTCATACAGCGACTGTTTCTGTTATAACTCCTTTAAAATGATTTACCCTAAAAGATAAAATCAAGTGATACTTGAAACATTGATTGCATTGCCCTGATGGTGTCAAGTCATAAAGGACATTTTTCCCCCTGTTTTAAAGGTAGGATATGATTAATATTATAGTATATAATATAGCCTATATGAAGAATAAAAAAGCCTTATTTTGAAGGCTTTATTATGCTTTACTAGCATATAAGTTCAGTGTTGAAACCAACTTTATTCATTAATGCCTCTTCCCTAGATTATAAAAATGTTCTTCTTTTTTTATTTAGAAACCGGTTTCATGCATATATCATAAGACTGGTGTAATGAGGCATATCGGTCAGTCAGTCCTCCATTGTCTACAATTCTTAGAAGAAGTTCTGGTAGGGAAAAGGGAACATGAGCACAAAACTACAGTGTTTACTCTGATTGTTACTGCAAAAATGATCTTTGTCATCCTGCAGATAAGCAGCATATTTCGCTTTAAAGAACAAAAGTCCTCCTCTTGAAATATCAATGTGGGGAAGTGATAAGGACTGCATTATCACTAAACAAAACATCAGATAAAATAGTTATTTTTGTTTAGGTATTCAAAATCCAACCAGTCTCATTGATATGACAGATCTGTCCTTAGCAGCCTCAAATCTATCACAAATCTGTTTTATGGGTCAATTGTCATGTTTCTATATCATACTTTGAATAGATAACGAATGCAAAGTATCTTCATATATATTAGTTCTCAAAATCTGGAATAGGTAAACTAGCACTGCTTTTTGTTTAGAGAGTAGATTTCTAAATACAGCTAATATTATCTTCTGGCTCCAGCCTGCTCTGCATACCTAGAACCAGAACTAAACATGGAGAAGCAGCATTTAGTTCCTATGCTCCACTTATCTGGAACAAACTTCCAGAAAACTGTAAAAGTGCGGAAAGCCTGAGTTACTTTAAATCAAGACTAAAAACACATTTGTTTAGGATTGCCTTCCACTGTTCTAGTTAAACAGTTCAACTAAAACATATTTTCTTTAGTCCAACCGTTTTTAATATTCTTTTTTCTTTCTGCATTTTTTATTTTATTTTATGTATTTTGTTTATTTTTTCCTACTTGCTTTGATTCTGTTTTATCTTCCTGTATTTTAATCATGTAAAGCACTTTGCATTGTCTTTGTACTGAATTGTGCTATACAAATAAATTTGCCTTGCCTTGCCTTGCCTAATAGCTACAAGTTTACCTCCTCCTGATAGTAAGTGGCAATCGTGCATGTCCACTCTCCATCTGTTTACCAGCCAGTGCCCAGGTCTGCTAATGCCTTTGTGAATTCTCAGTCATCTGGTTCATGGCAATTTCAAAACAGGCTTACGGCAGAGGCAGCTGGACTTTTACTAATTTTCTCTGAAGACATTTCTACGTTTATTCAGAAGTCTTTGTCAGGTATGTTGGCTCGCACCAGTGCAATCTGCAGTTGAAGTGCTGATGTATTTAAGCAACATGGTGGTCCATTACAAGTCAGATATAAACACAGCCCAACTTCTCTTGGGTTGTTGGGTACAACAGATTATTAGGGACATGCAAGAGATTTTATTTTTCTTCTATTTCGACAATAAAGTTGTAACATTACGAGAATAAAGTCTTAACATTACGAGAATAAAGTCATAACATTACGAGAATACAACTGCAAAATCACGAGAATATAGTCGTACCATTAGGAGAATAAAGTTGTAAAATTATGCGAAGAAAGTCATAAAATTATGAGAATAAAGTCGTAAAATTAGGAGAATAAAGTCGTAACATTACGAGAATAAAGTCGTAACATTAAGAGAATAAAGTTTTAATGTTCAGAGAAAAAATTCACAAAAGAAAAGTCATAACATTATGAGAATAAAGTCGTGATATTAAGAGAATAAAGTCCTAAAATTACGAGAAACAAGTTGTATTTTATGACAACTCCTAAAAGAAGCACTATCTTCCCTAAAATGAGAATGTCGAGAGCATCATGTGAAGTTATACTTTGGCTCTGGTTTCACAAATAGGGAAAGCTTTTAGCACCAGCACCAAATTGGTCAGTATGTCAAAGTGGACTCAGGTTGCTGTTTGGTAGCATTGGTCGGCCATCATATGCTGGTTGGAAATCGAAGCTTTCTTTCTGAAAAGGGTTTTGATATGATGACTTCATTCTCGTAATATCACAACTTCATTTTCGTAATATTACAACTTTATCCTCTTAAGGTTACGGCTTTATTCTCCTAATGTTACGACTTTAATCTCTAGCCTGGCCCTAACACTCCATCGTAGTTGGGGTATTTTGTTTTGTATGGTTTTTGTTTTTTTTACCATCTAAATCGTGACGAGTGTGCTTGGATAACCTCTATGAAATGAATTCCAGAACAGAACTGTTTTTGCTTGGAAGCTAAAATAACAAATCCTCACCTTCCGTTCAGTCAGGGCTTTTATCTGTCAACAAAGATGGCTTTTTTTAATCCCTCTTTCAAACCATCTGTCCTCTCTGTCAAAAATGTGAACAATTTGGTTATTAAAGGTGTACCCTTTGTTCTTGAGGTGCAATTCCACAGCTGAATTTTGAGCAGCAACCTCCTCATGCCATCTTAGCCCCTTTGCCTTCTTGAGTTTAAAAAGCTTAAACTGATGCTCACCTTCACTTTCTTTGTTTTGAAGAAGCAGTTTATCACTTTTTTCTTTAAAAAAAAGTAGGATCTGAATCACATGACCACAACCCACAATTCTTTTTGGTGTTGAATGCTTTCGTGTCAATATCGGCATCATAACCAGAAGTGAATATTTGAGTACTTTGTAAATATTGTATATTTTAGATATATGTATGAAACATTTTTGTTTCCCATATCTTTGTTCTGCACACTCCAGAGCTTCTATGGATCTTTTTTTTTTATTTTTTATATATAAATCCTTTTGATGAAAAAGTTGTAGCTATGACCTTTTAGCTGAGGGAACATTTCGATAATAATGTTTTTAATTACATTTTTAGTTCTTATTTAATGTAGCTACTTTGTAACAGTTGTCATTTTTTACTTTAACTGTGAAATTAAATGCCAATGCTAGATTAAATGCTATTTACAACACTGAATTACTGATTATACAAACATTTGCAAGCATAACTATTTACTTTACATTTGAATTGTTTATCTGGAGAACTTTGAGACCGATAAGCTTGGGAGTCAACTTAAAGAGGAAAAGCTAAAAATGCCAAAGGATGAGGGGAAAGATAGTCTGTTAATTTGTGCTTTTTATTTTTGTGACTAGCCACAAGCTTAATCTGCAGGAGTTAAGATGGCCTTTGCCGCTGTTGTATGAGTCATCCTATGTTAATGAAACAAGTGGCACGGTGTTGCTGTAAAGGTGAGCAAAAAATAAAGTCTGTCACAGCCATCAACCCCCTCCTCCCCAAACATCATCGCCCCTGCAGCCACAGCAGTCTGGGCTCAGCGAGGGAGAACTTTGTGTTGTGTAACAACGCTGCCACAGCTTCGGTGATGTGACATTTAAATGAGCCGTCACCGACAAAGAGACAGAAAGTGGGAGTGAGGAACAGCTTCTGGCCCTGGAAAAATATTGTGAGAAATGCATTTAATTTAGTTTTGACCAAGGATCGAGTTTGGGAAGACAGGAAGCATCCTGCAACACTGGATACCCTGACACAAAGTGCTGGCCCACTGGAGAGATAGCTCTGTGGAAAGTTACCCTCTAATTCCTGAACACAATATCTCTAACTCAGCTCTATCAGTGTTCAAACATGTGCTTTCACTGGAGTGTCTCCCTTATGTAACAACAACAAGCAGCTGATCACCAAAAACACAGTCGTCACCATGCAGATTGTGACCCGGTCGGGCCCCAGCGGGATGGTCACACATCAAACAGGCTGTACTGGATCAGGACAGAACAGAACTGCCCAACAGAGGAGAACTGCTGGGGTAACTTTAGGCTATAAGCAACCCAGCTTCAAACAAAAGTTCCTTTTAAAATAGTTAATCAATTGTTATTTTCTCCACACTGCAATAAAAAAATCATTGTTCTTTATTGGGATTTTCTTTGAATTGTCACATTGTATTTTTATTTTTTTTTTAAACCTGAATGGGCAGTGCTCTATGGGGCATTTAAAACTTCAGGTACTCTTTATAACTTGACAATTAAATGAAATTCCATTTCGCTGATCTGTCAGCTCTGATCCTTGGTCTTATTGACAATGTCTGTTTACCATAGATCTGCATCAAACCTCTGGGCTAAGATTAAACACAGAGGGACTCTATTTACCTCTAAAGGCAAATAATTAAGTTAAAAGGGGCTGAACAAGGGTTTTAGAATCTGCACCACATTGAGTTGGTCTAACCCAGGGGTCGTAGACGAGGTGAAGGCGGGCACTAAGGGCCCTCTAGGACCACATGGGGTGCCCACAGCATCTTCTTAAAAGATATCAACTCACCAATGGAGTAAGTTTGAAATGGTATTTTATGCTGCAGCTTTAATTTATCATTTAAAGAGAATTTTAGGGTATAGTGGAGGATTTTCGTGAATGTTCGAAAGACCCACCCTCTCCACTTAAAAGAGAAAGGCACATGCACAACCCTGTGCCTGCTCCTGAGAGGGAACGCCTTTTAAACACGTGCAAGGGCGTGCACAAGCCCATTTCTCCTCATGCACGCTCTGTTTAAAAGTTGCTGTTTGGATCGCCCATAAAGGCTTATTTTCCAAAACGAGATTTGCAATTTTTCCACTATGTCAGACTCACCACGGTTAAGTGAAAATGGGGACGAGCACGTAGGACGGCCTTATGGAAACAGATCACCAGAATGATTGACAATTAATTCTAGCCCGTCCTATGACTCAGTCTTAAAAAGGTTGGTGACCATTAATCTAACCTATAAAATCACAATTAAATGTTTTTTGGTTTAAGGTTTTAAAATTAGAAAATGAGAAAATGTGCATGGGTATGTAAACATTTTTGCTAAGTACTTTGTCGCTCGGCACAATTAACTTCATTATTTATGACCTAAGTCTAAAGTGACATCAACATGTGACTGCACATACAAAAGGCTTTAGGCAGAGACTTTTATTTCATCATAAACAAGCAAAGACTTGCTCAACTGATTCAACTTTTTTCACATTTCACTTAGCATGCCTGAAAACAAAAAACTCCTCCCACATACATCCCCTAGAGTCCTCAGTAAAACACAGAACCAATTAAAAAGCTCAACAAACAACACGCTAGCGTTTTCTATATCCAAGTTAATCTCAAATCAAATGTAAGCTTTGGACATCTGTTAATCAGATAACAACAAAAGTATATCTGATAAATAATGTGACATTACATAGCTAGGCTATTTAGTCAGTGTTGTACAAATCATGTGGTTGACTTAAAGTGCTGATAATCACAGGACACCAGATAAAGGGGCTCTTCTGTAAAAATCTTAGCTATCCTAAAGGTGCACAGTAAATGAACAATAAAGAAGCTTTAAAGTAATTGGTTGGGAGAAAAACAATCTGACAGTAAACTGTAAGACTTCCAGGTTAATTTGGAAGAAAGAAAAATAGAAATTATTTAACTGCTTAGGGTATGTGTGTGTGTTTGTGTGTGAAAACTTCAGCTGAGGCCTCAGACACTTGCAGGCATTTAAGATTGATGAGTACTGCCCCCTGGCTACCATCTGTCATCACTACAAGCCTGCAGATTTTGTTGGATCAGTTTTTAATCATCGTTCTCATCCTCATCTTCTTCTTCATCATCATCATCATTGCCACGTGCCTTCATGGCTTCCACCCTGGCCAGCAGTAGGGGCAGGTTTATGGCCAGGCCGGGTGTCTCCTCATCAGAGTCCTCCTTTGGAGGGTAGAACCGCTTTGCCTTGGCCAAGAAATCTTCAGCTATGTCAAGGTACAGCAGGCGATCCTGCAGATATGAAGACAGTGAAAGGTTATCCCCTTACTTTAGTGATCTATACCTCAAAGTTAACATTGGTTATCTTCTAGTATGTTATCATGATACATGCATAGTTGAGGAAATAGGAAGTAATCTTATCTGCAATATAAAGCACTTGATGGCTGGTTTAGAATAAATACGTATAACATGGATTCTACCATCTTAAAACATCTCCGCTCTTAAAGACTACACTGTATACAGTGTATGCAAAAGGTATTTTAGAAGCCTTTGCTTTCATTTGAGGTAGTTAAAGAGAAGCTGCCGGATATTGACATTGGAAAAAGAGGCTGGAGGTGCTGCGACCCTCATGTGTTAAACACAAAGCAGGAAACAATAATGCAGTTCTAATTAATTGCCCGACAGTTTAACCCTTAAAATTTGTTGGGGTTTTTTTTGTGCAAAACTTTAATGAGCAGAGACCTTTTTTCTTTTTCTATTCTCACTTTCACACAGGAGAATCACAGCTTCCTATCTCCGTTTCCTTTAAAAATAACATCAACCTGCTGCAAAATAAGCCCCCCAAAACAAACATGACAGAAGTTATAGTATATATCAAATGGAGTATACATAAACTAACAAAATAGTTTTCAAATCGAAGCTCTTTTAAGATGGTAGAGCCATACTTTGAGCTCGGCCAGTCAGAAAGGAGCCGTTAGCCTCAGCCTGCTAAATTATCTAATCTGGATTTATATGAAAAGAATTATCTATTTTAAATTTAGGCAATACATTTTTTATACCTATATAATATATATAATAATGTATAAAGAAACAATCAGACCCCTCTTTTATAAACAGACAGCAAAATCTTTAGTGTTATATTTTCAGTGATGATGATTTTAAGTTAGTAGGTATTGATTTTAGAGTTGTTTTAACAGTGGCATTAAAAAAGCTCAGAATTATCAATCAAGCGATTCAGATTTTAACACATGGGATGTGCAAACCTTCTCCCCTCACATTAGTTTAAAATTGTATGTTTATACATCATTAAGCTAAATACTGAGCCAAAGCAACAAATATATAAATCCCATAAAAATACTGTGAAATCGACATAGGTTTGCTTTCCATGCACATGTGATGACTGGGTATCTAAGGGATACTCGCTGCTCTTGAGTCTAGTTTGACGTTTATTTTGGTTGTAAAATTCTAGGAGTTACTGTATATTTTCTGCATTTTGTTTTGTGGTTTATTGTTTGATTTTTCTCTCCTCTCTCCCCCCTTGTTTCTGCCTCTATATTTTCTCTCCCGCCTTAATTCTTATCCCTCTCCCTTTTTCACCTTACTTTCCATCTATGTGTCCGTTGCACAGAATTTGATTATCCAAATCCTTATCAATAAAGTTTCAGACATTATACATTTACCAGGCCCGTTACTGGCAAAAAATAAAATTTCTCTTGTAATCTGCAGTTTGACAGCTTTGGCCTTGCCTTCCCTGCAGGTCAGATGGCCTTGGGATGCCAAATGTGTGTTTTAGAGGCAAAAATATTTATTTATTTAATGTGTCATAAAATAACACAATATATACTAGAAAATCAACACTTAACAGTGAAAGGAAATGTCTCAATTTTGAATTAAAAGTGCACTTAATTGGTGTCATGGCACAATACCATTATATTATACATCTGAAGGACTTTAGATATACTACTTTTCAAAGTGTAATTTTAATCCATTATATAAACTTAGACAATGAGTTGAATTAACCCTCCTGATTTAGTTGTGCATAAATGAAAGTCCAGCTTTTTGCCTTCCCTTACCAGGATGAAGAGATATCTTTCCGGTGGTGGCTCCTTGCTGCTGAAGATTGAGGTCTCAGTGTGCAACGAGTGCAGCATGGCGCGTGCTGCAGGGGCGTTACGCATACGGTCAGCTGAGGCACCAGCAGATACTGTCAGCAGTGAGTCTGCTTCAGCCATGAAACCTGGAGCAATGATATGAAGAGCCTTAACAAAAGCAGCTTTGTTCCGCTGATTGTGTGTATGTGAGTGTTTGAGTTGTACCAAGGTTTTCCAGGATAGTTTGCCATTTGTCTCTGACTTCTCTGCGTGTATCTCTCATGGCTTCAATGTCCACACTCAGACGACGATAGCCCTTCAGAAGGAAGGAAAAACATTGTTTTTATCTAGTTAGTCAAAAACAATATATAAAGTACTGTAAAAACATTTTGCCACTGTACAGATTTTGTCTTTTTATTTTTCTGTCACAGGAATATTTTCAGATTATGAAGCAAATGTTGATCACAGGAGCTGCATAGTGACATGGCTTGTAGTGCTGTTGCCTTGCAGTAAGAAGGTTCCAGGTTCAATTCCCTGCCCCGTCTTCCTTTATGGAGTTTGCATGTTCTCCCCCTGCATGGGTTGTTTCTCTCTGGGTGCTCCAGCTTCCTCCCACAGTCCAAAAATTTGACTGTTAGGTTAACTGACATCTCTAAATTGTCCTTAGTTGTGAGTGAGTGTGTGTGCTGGTTGTCTGCCCTGCAACAGATTGTCTTCCTGTCCAGGGTGTAGCCATGCACTGATGGAGATAGGCACCGCCCCCCCTGATGGATGGATGGATGTTAATGTCACGTTAAGACAATCTGAGTAATTTAAAAACGATTTTCAAGTGATATATCAAGTATTTTTTATGTAGCTGAAAACAAATGTTGCTGTTTCCCAGTCTTTTAAGTTGTGTAGGCCACTTTTTAAATCATACTGAACAAATAAAATGTGGCTTTGGGTTATTTTTCTTCTGCGTAATTCAAGTAATGGACTGGACATTTACTTATAGAGTCATCTACCACGGAACAGGACTCACACAGATCCCGAAGTAACCAACCAGCTCCAGACCATCACCCTGCCACTACCGTGCCTGCCTGTAAGGATGAGGCTTACTTTATAGTATGTTTAACACTTTTAAAAATATTGTTTTTTTTTTTGTTTTTTTTTGCTTTCTGAGTTTCATCTAGATGCTAATGTATCCACAACTTAATGCTATTTTCTGTCAGCAGTGAGTCAGGCCTTGGAACGTTGTTATAGCTAAAATAGTAGCACATAACTGAGGCATGTGAGGCCTGCAGGGCTTTTTGGAAGCTGTTCTTTTTTTGTTTGTTTTTCTTTAGGGGTGGATGATTATTTGAAAAGGGCATTGTTTACCTTTTTGATAGTTTGTATAGATTATTTCTTTTAGTGAGGAAGTTATAATTTCAGAAGTGTTCTCTATATTTACTCAGGTCATCATTCTCTGACATGAAATTGTGTTTGATGATCTTCTCAATTCAAGTATGAAAAAAAAAACATTAACAGCAGATATCTGTAAGCAGGAAAACATGTTTACAGCACTGTATGTTATTCTACCTATAAAACATGATATATTGCATAAAAAAGTCTGTTGTTTTTCTTTTTTCTCGTCCTCTACATACTGTTGATCCGATGCGGGTCTTATTCCTGGCCTGAAGCAGGGTGTAAAGCGTCCGGTCATCATCTCTCTCCGAGTGGCTGGGATCTCCGGGTTCACTCCACAGGTTTGTCTCCTCATCTCGTCGCTTCTGGACTTCCCGCGTGAAATAATCCAGCGGATCTGGACTGATGTTGTGGATACACAACACAACTCATTCACTGAATTTAGGAAACATTTTATGGTTTCTTTTAGTTACTCAGTTGGTTAAGATCTGCAGTGGTAGAGAGTAATCATTCTTTTTTTCACCATCTTACGTTACAAGAGGTTGCTTTTCCTCATCATCCTCATCCTCCTCAGCACAGCAGCAGCAGCAGAACTGCATGCAGAACCTTTTAAAAGCAGCACCCATCTAAAAGGGAGAGAGAGTCACCTGGTAGCAGGTCTGCACAACATCACAAAGTGCAGATTGAAGTTTTATTTGACCTTTGCTGAAAGATGTTGCACCTTGTTTGCTTCTTGAAGCAATTTCTATTTGCACTTCTGCAGCTCAGTGTCGCCCGCGGATGCTCTGAAGAGATTTTGTTTTACTAAGATGATCTTGTTCACTAATAATATCTCAAAACAAAAGGCTCAGCTTAGTGCAAAACCCAGAAGCTATGACAATAATGTGGTCCAATTTAGTGAAGCCTACAAAACAGAGTTATCTTTTAGATGTAAGACAGACAAAACAAATAAGAGATTGAAAATAATCACCCCAATTTTCAGCCTCCCATTTTCCAAAATCTGGTAACGGCTCCACACTGAATCAGACGTCTGCCTGGAAGAGCTCAGGGAGATGGCATCCCGATGACTGGTGCTTCTTCTCAGCCTCACATAAAAGACAATATGAGTACCAAAGAGGCTTTTGCTCTCATCGATAAGAAAAAAATTCACACACCCATAACCTCAGAAGACAGTCACAGCACAATCATGTGAGCAGCTTCGTGTCCTGTCCTGTGAATTATGCTTTGGCCTGAGGACAACACATTTTCTCCACAGCAGTTAGACTAATTGCACAAGTATTATAACATCTATACCGGTGCTGTGGATTCAAGGTTTATCTTGTAATGCAGCTCTGTAGAGTGTAAATAAATTAGTTATAAATGGTAGCTTATTATTGCCTTAATTTCTTTTTTTTTTTTAACCAAAAGCACTTTGAGCTGAGGAAGAGCATCAGATGCAACATGTTAACAGTCATATTAATGCATTAATGCAAAGTAAGACTGTAGATGCTTTTTTTTTTTCAGTAAATGAATATACCGAATGTACTGAAAGATTGGGGACAGAAACGCAAGAGGTTATAAGAGATCTTTGAGTATGAAGTATTTCTGTTTTGTTTTTTTATACTAAACTAGTAACTTTCTATTTTACAAAGATATTAAAAAAAAAAAAAATCAAAACTATAAAGCATCACTTATTCATTTTGCAATTGGAGGTTATATCAGCTAAGACTTTTCTTCAAAGTGCTGCATTATTATTATTAAGATGGCTTCAAAGTCAACTTAAGAAAATTCCGATCTATAAATCCCAGCAGGGTTGTTTCGTATCTCCAGCTGTAACTGGACAGGAAACAGGTATACACCGAACAGGTTAGCAGCACATCATTAAGTTACTTAAATGTAAAACAAAAAACTCAAAGTTCTTAGTCTGATTTTGTCCAAAATCTAAAACCAGAGGAAAAAAATGTAAATGTTTATAACACCTGAATCAGTGAAAAATAAGGTTAATCAATGACTTCACCTTTGCAATGAGGTGGAGGGAAATGCAAAGAACAGTTAACATACAAGTGGAGTCTAACGGAGAGTTTGTAATCAGCTCCAGAAAACACGCAAGGTTATCTGAAAATATAAGTTACGTCAAAACTGAGCTTTTAGTTAACACCAACATAATATGGCCTGGTTCAAAACAAGAGCAATGAATCAGTAGAAAAGAACAATCTGCCCACTCTAGAAACCAATCTGTGGTGCTGTGGGGCTGGTATTATGTTTAGAGGGTAGGGCATCATGATATTTTTTGATGTAAAAATTAGATAAATCAAAAATATTAAACCTCTATAGAGAGATCAACAAGGAGTAAAACAGCAAATATGAAAAAATAGTTAAATATAAAAGAGCTTTCTTTAGAAATGAGAGGAAAAAAAAATCAAAACCGTATCTTGAAAAAGAACTGATTGTTTACAGTCTGAAGTTTGTCAAATAAGGTCACAGAGTGCAGGACGTCTCTTGTTTGTTGCTAAAAGTAAAAACAGGATTTCACAAGACTCACTTTTCTACAAACCAGAATAAATTTAAATTACCGTTTAATAAAGAAAAACAATGAAACAACCACAAGATAGGTTCTCCCTGTTTTATTAGATGTAAGACACTTTTTAAAATTCAGTAAAAACAATTGGTCCGTAGTGATGGCTTTGAATATACATGTTTGATACTAAAATTAATTACAAATTGTTCTGAAAATAATGAAGTAAACATAAGCAGTCCAAGCAGATTCTCATGCTCTTAATATACGTCACTGGAGCAGAGAAGAAACAGCCCGATATGAACATAAAGCAACAATAAGTCCAGTATTTATTATTACTGCAATAAAGGCACAACTGTTGACATTCTCTTCACTTGAAAGTCCAACTGTCTGTTGCTTTAAAATCTAAATAACTTTTTTTTTTCGGTTAATTTAATTACCCGAACATGTTGGACATGCATTATTTTGTTCCTACACTGATGACAATTTCCAAAAACATCCAAGTAAAACTCCTCACAGTCAAATATACAAAAATATTCCTTTAGGAGGAATAATTTCAGTCATTTTTAAAACAAAACCACAATCTTTGCCCACATTTCAGGACAGATTTAACCTTGAACTATCATTGTTTTTAAAGGATCAAAATAGCACCAGTATGCAAACCACGTTTTAGCTGGAGGGGATAATGTTTGAAGCTGTGTTTGGTTTACTATGCAAAAAATAAAAGCAGAATATTTGTTCTAACCCTATTTCATGGGCATGAGGGAAGGATAGTAGGGAAATCAATTTTACACTACAGTTATCTTTAATTCAAGTAATTACTTCAGCTCATTTTTTTCATCCCAAAAAAGGCAATATCAGGTGATTGGCACATGAGAGCTGTAATAAGAGGACATACTGATCTATTTTTAACATCTGCACAATCATCAGTTTGATCTGAGTTCAGTTTTAAGGGTTCAGACTAGAAACCACACAAAAAAAACTTCATACAACAGATTCTTACACGGTGGGAAAAGACTGAGTCTAGTCCCAGATGTACATTGGTTATGTCTCCCTCTAGCAGTGAGCAGGAAGTAACGCATCCCCTTCATCAAAATCACAGTATTCTTTAAAAAGTTTGGTGAGAATATGTTGTGTTAGGTAGGAAGATGAAAGAGAAAACAAAGAAGGTGCAGAAGAAAAAAGCAGAAGAAGTTCTGTCAGATTAGGCTCAGCTGCTTCTGTTTTGTCAACCGTTTTTTTTTCATATCAACTCCATCCTCATGAAGGTCTTCCTTGTCAGTAAAAAGCATTGCAACACAACTTGCAACAAGTCTCATTTCCTAGTGAATCTGAGCAACAGTTATAGGTCCAACATAAAGAGGAGAAAAGTCAGAATTATCATCTGTTCTGTCCGAATCACTGTCAGGTCTGAAACATGATCTCCTGTGCTCAGAGATCAAGTCTTTATATATAGCAGTTTGTCTCCCATCCCTTCAGCTCAGAGGCTACACAGGTTTCTCCTCACAGGTTACCAATGGGGTTCCAGATGAAGAAAACAGTAGTTCTGTTTTCCAGGTTGCCTTACTTTAGGCTTCAGATGTGATGATGGTGATGATGGTGGTGGTGGTGGTGGGAGGCTCGCAGGTCAGTAATCCGTTGCCGTAAATGGGACATAAACTCAAACATGGTGGCAGCAAGGCTCTGGTGGATGAGGTAGCGGGGCAGACGGCCCTAAAACGAACAACAGCTGAATATTAGATGCATGGTGATACATATTTATGTGGACAGAGCATCTGCCATCATTCTACCTAATAGTGAATTCACAACAAACACGCAAAAATCCTTAAACATCGATATTTGGGTGCTGGTTGTTTTGACACTCTGTTCTGTAGCTACAAGCTATAGAGCAGCTGGCTTTAATTACTTTGATGAGTTGGGAAAAGAGTTTCAACACTTTTTAAGTGGGAAAGAACACCTCAAAACATTATCTGTGGAGTCAGTTCATCAGAATTAAGAAAATACGCAGTTCTTGTTTGGAGCGTCAGACCTCCAGCATACCGCAGCGCTGGAAATCTCTGCTGAAAGCTCTGTACGCGGCCAGCCACTGCCGTTCGTAGTGGCTGGAAGTGAATATAAAGAGTTTTTAAAAGTTTGTGGTAAAAACTGCAAGTACTAGAATATAAGATCGAAAGTTTTTAACATTTTTAGTTAATTTGGGTATTTAAAAACCATTTCACCATAAATCACGAAAAATGTTTTAGTGCAGCAATAATGATTAGAGCTCCTTCTCTGTTCCCTCCAAATAAACCATTCTTATGGCTTTTTTTTTTACCTTTGGAGTTAAACTCTTTGATATTAGTTTTATTTTTCAAATGTAAAATGTCTGCCGAAACAATAAAGGCTTTCATGTAGTGTCTATTTAAAGATTTTCTGATTGGTTGACACTCCAGCGTGGCAAAAGTTCAATTTTCCGAACTCAAGCTTCCCATGCTCGGACACCAGAATGCTCGGAATCACCACTCCTGATGCTCTGAATCGCCGCTCATCCTTTCCACGCCTGATTTACATTGAATTTTCATGTAAATCAGACGCTTTGATGCCCAAAATGTGTTCGTTGTGAACGCATCAGACTGACAGACTGTCTATTATTGCTATTATCAATATTATAATCAGGGTTCCTACAGCTTAAGGCAAGTTAAATTCAAGACTTTTTAAGACTTTTAAATGCCACCTGAAATAAAAATTTAAGACCAAATTCACAAGAAACACAAGAAAAACCTGCTTGCGACAACTTTACCCAAAGGTTTATTTTAACATAAACCACTGCACTAATGTTTCAAATTTTGAAAAGCTTCCCATACAGGAAGAAAGCTAAAAACACACAAATGACGGATATTTTTGAACAATTATTTAACTGAATTCACAAACTTTGTTTTAGCAGGGAACAAAACAAATCAGTTTTAAAGCCACAACACAACCAGTGCTAAGTCTTTTTTGCAGCTATTTTTCTTTGTATCGTTTTCTTAGTATGTTTGATTTGGTGATAAGTGGAGGCGTTGCAGAGACAAGGGTGGAACAAAACCCAGAAATACCGGCTGTTTCTCAGTAACTCGATTTTGACGCTTTGTGTTTCGTGCTTCGCATGTGTGACTCCGCTGCCTTAATTCCCATCGTTCCGAGCTTGAATGACTTCTTGCACAAAATCCACTGAGCCTCATGTATGTTCCCTGGTTTTAGCCATGGAGAAAACTCTTGGCTGGAGACAATTTTAGTTACATTTAAACTTGCTCATATTTTCCATACAAAAAGTAAATGGTGCATCTCCCAAATATCCCGGCCGCAACAACGCTTTTATTGGTTCCACTATCGGGACGGAACCAATAATGGCGAGCCGTTATTTTTTAATAAAAAAATTGTCAATTTTAACGTTTTATTTAGATTACAAAAATAAATCGTAATAAAAATAATCCTATTTATGTTTTAAAAATTAAGACCTATGAAAGACTGATTTAAGACATTTTAATACCAATTAAGGCCTTAGTTTTATTTTGAAGAATTCAATGCCTTTTAAGACTTTTTAAGGACCTGCGGGAACACTGATAATGCTTTAAAAACAGTGACCAATTAAGGTCATTTTCCTTTGAACAAACTTTTATTCAAGTTTGAATGTTTTTCTCTATAGACACAATATTTGACCCCAATTTAGCTCCATAACCATGAAATGGTTTTATTTATAAAAGCAGCCAAAGTGGAAAACATCAATGGGGTGGAAGGGAGAGATATGTTTGTCATTAAAAAAAAATAAAAACAACCAATTGCAGTGTTTATTTGCTTCACCTTTAAATCTGTGTTTAGGACCCAGATGAATGTGCAGACTGACGGGTTGCTGCTGGACTTCAGCACCACAAATCCTCCAGGGCCATTTTCTCCCCTTAAATATAAGATTTAAACAAAGTTAAAATTAAGTTTAAAAAAAAAATAAAAAAAATCACAAAAAGAATAAAATGATTCTCTGATTTACTGAAGTATTGACACTAAATCTACAAGAAAAAAAAAGTGACTGACCTGACATAGCGACCACATGGGGGTTTGGCATCGTGGTTCGTTGCCATGCCAGCAGACATGTAACAGTCTCGTTTGCGTTCAACTCGACGAACATTAACGAAGTCCCTAAAAGAATAAAAGAAACACCTTCAAGTTAATTTACTTCAACTATTGGTAAAAGAAAAAAAGGAAGACAATAAATGAAGCCAGATCTTTGATCTACCTGGCAGACACGACTCCTCCCGCTGCACCAGCAGAAACGTCGTATGTCACCAGAGTGTTGTCGTCAACCCTCTGGAGGATCTGAGGCAAAAGGTATGGAAAAGTATTAAGCTTTATTTCTGAAAACAAAACCTGGAGGATGTTTGATCAGCTAAAGAGTCATTTCACCTGGCAGACAGAAACAGTTTTATTCCACTGAACCATTTTTTCTGGTTGGAGAATCACCTCCTGATAGACAAACTCTGCAGGGCACTGCATCAAGCCCTGAACAAATGAGAACAAGGCAGACAATCTGAGAAGTCCTAAAGACGAGGTGCAATGCAGAGAAAAACAAATTGTATACATACATATATATTGCATCATGAATTAAAATGGGATTTTTTTATGTCAAAGGAGCATGATACAACTTCCATAAAGCTAAGTTTCATATTTACTGTACCTTGAGAATAAAAGTTTTTCCGTGGTAGGGAATCTCCAGAGTGTAGACAGAATCTCCCATGTCCTGTCAAAAAACAATGTCCAGTCAGTAAAAAAAAAAAAAATTATTTGTTTTCAAAAAATGTCTTATTTTAAAGTTAGATATAATATTTCCCTATTTGTCTTCTTCTTCTTTTTTAATTGTGTTCCCCATTAGTTTATTTGACTTTCTTCTAATCCAAATGTAAAACATCCACCTAGTTCTGGTAAATAGAAAATTTACAGATTTTGAAACAACTCAGCACTGAAGTTGGCTTATGATTTAGCAGAGTGATAAGGTAAGTTAAGTCGTAACCTCAGTGGTATCTAGTTACAGTAAATTAAGGCAAGTTCTGCATTAAAATCTTCAAGATATCGATACAAGCGTCTGGATTGGTTTATCTTGCATTAAAAACAGACATCAGCACAGTTTATGAAACGTTAAAATAAAGTTTGAAACAAACGGTTTAAGAGATGAAATAATCAGTGTATAACGACAGTCATGACAAATCAGAGAGAGAGAAGATAGTCTAAATATAAATTATTGTAAAAATAGTTCTATTTCTATAGCAGAAGTTGTGATAATTTTGATAATGGTTTGAGGATTAGAATATGTAAAAATGTAATACTTTATATATGAGGGATATATATACATTCATTGTATTTATGATAAAATTACGGTTTTAAAAAGGGCAATTGCCAAATTGTAGAGGAATAAAAGTTTTTGTCCTGTTAAATTTTATGCAAGACAGAAACTTTTTCATTACAGCCCTTTAGGTGGTAACAATACATTTGTGTTGGTTTGCCACTTCATAGCTTGTGTGCAGAACGATGCATGGGAGCTAGAGGCAAGAACTTTTCCACGTAACAGTATAGTCCCTCAACAATGAACTCTCGACAACAGAGCATCAAGGTCCTGAAAACAACAATGTCCTTAAGCCAAACGTAAAAGATATAAAATTTTAAAAATCTGGTAAATAAATGAAATTGTGGAAGCTCATCGGTAGAATTCTCTTATGACAACAATTCAACAGCAATTTCTAAACACAATATATATATATATATATATATATATATATATATATATATATATATATATATATATATATATATATTAGAGCTGAAACAATTAATCGGCTTAATCGTGATTAACTGATGATTGAAATAATCTTCAATTAATTTAGTAATCGATTTGTTGTGAACTGGAGTATACAGCCCTTAAGCTGACAGAGTGACCTAATTTGAGCAGTAATTATATCAAAATTGTAAAAATAATATATAATCATTTTTAATTTAAAATAAACAATTAAATAAACCTTTTTGTCTGTCAATATGTCCTATCCAGAACCCCTCAAGTGGAAAATCTTAGTTTCATCTGGTTTAATTTATTAAAAAAAATCTTCTTTAAGGAACATTAGGCTATCAGATTAT